AAATAAATAAATAAAATCTTTTAAAAAAAAATAAGCATTTAAAGATTGCTTCCCAAGTGCCATTTATTCACTAGACATTCAGTTCCTACCTACAAGTACTAAGCACCTACCACTAAGTACTACTATGCTGGACACTAGAGTGAGAAAAAAAGATTTGACTAATCCCTGATCCTTGACCTAGATGAGCTGGGTATTGTGATTGGGGATTCCAGAACAAACACATTATTTTAACAGGGTTCTAAGTACCGCAGTAGGGATCGGCCCAGGGTGCTGTGGAGACTCCTAGACGAGTCTGGGGGTGAGGGGAGATAAGAAAGGATTTGCTCAAGTGATACTTGTCTTTTTCTTTGTGCCTTTTTCTGGGAAAAATTTGCAACTTTGTATTACAGTTCACCAATTTACTTTTCAGTTGTATTCATTATGCTATTCAGTCATTACCCCAATTATGTTATTCATTTCCTAGATTGCTAATTGGTTCTTTTTCATAACCACCTATTTCTGTCTCAAGGATACTATACTCTCCCTTTCTGTCTGAGGATGTCACAGAATTTTAATGTCTTCTACCTATTGTGTTATGTTTCCTCAAAGGGGATGAGCCTCTGGTCTTTCTCGATTGGCACTTAATTTTTAAGTAAAAATGTCAGTTCTCTTGCCCCACCCATAGAGATTCTGTCAGTAGTTTAGGAACTTGAAGGCATCCCAAGTAATTGAGGCACGAGCCACACTTTGAGTAACATTCTGGTAGACTCTTTAGTCCCAGAAGTTAGAATTTACTTATCTTCTCTATATATGTTTTCTTTGGTATTGGAAAAATATAATTTTTTAAAAGATTTTATTTATTTATTTGAGAGAGAGAGTACAAGTGGGGGGGCGCAAGGAGCAGAGGGAGAGGGAGAAGCAGACTCCCCACTGAGCAGGAAGCCTGATGCTGTGCTTGATCCCAGGACCCTGAGATCATGACCTCAGCCAAAGGCAGACACTTAACCGACCAAGCCACCCAGGTGCCCCAGATTTTTTTGATTATCTAATTAAAAATGATATTTAGCTATTCTTTTTTTCAAACTCCCTTAATTTCGAACAGTTCTCTCTCCTATTTCCTGACATTGTCTTTTTGGAAGAGCTCAGGCCAGTCAGCTTGTAGAAATTCTCACAACTTGGATTTGTCTAATTGCTTCCTCGTGATTAGTTAAAGGGGGGGGGATTCTACATACTCCTTTCTCATCCACCATTTATCTGTATACGCCTTTACTTTGCCTTCCTTCCTGTTACTAAGGAAGAACCACACTAGATCCTAAAGTCAATCCCTCTATTTGTACACTGTATCCCAATCTCTTCAATCTCCTCAAGGAAATCATCCCAGCACTTCTCTTTCCCTCTACATCATCGGTTCTTCATTCCCCTTGGAGCATTCCCATCAGCAAACACACATCTTATATAATGTCACCATCTTAAAAAACCAAACCAAACCAAATTCTCCCCTTGAGTGCACACTGCCTCAAACTATTGCCTTATCTCTCCTCCCTCCTCTGCCCTTTATTGTAAAACTCCTCAAAACAGTTATCTAAATCATTGTCTTTGTCTCCACTTTCTTTCCTTTTCTCTCTGACACACACTGCAATCAGGGCTTCTCCTCACCAACTATATCAAACAGCTCTTGTCAAGGTTACCTATGCTATAGATATAACTCAGTGAGGCCTAAAACCAAAATTATAAGGAGAAAAATCAAACACTACACTAAGAAAATCCTGCCTCATTCTACCACCCATCAAGAGTCTTGAACATTATTGTTACTGAAGCTAAGGTGCAGACATTCACCAGCTGAGGCCTTGGAGTAAAACTGTATGTGAGAAAAGACCAAAATGGGGGGCCATAGAGAAGAGATCCTGTCAGCTCATTTTCCTCTAGGCATAGAATTGTCATGCCACCTACAGAAACAGTGTGAGATCTGGCTTTGGGATTCACAGAAAAGGGAGATACCAATTAAAAACTGAAATTACCTGATTCTTGGGAAACAACACGTGAGGGACATCTGGATTGTAAACTTTTCCATGTATAAGATAATTTTCTTAGTTAATCTTACCGTGGTAACCTGCATAATCTCAGTCCTCAATAAAACAGAAGTCTCCAATAATCCTGAATTCAAATGAATAAACGTGATATCAAAATTTCCAGTCTATCCCATCGGTTCAAGAAATTCCTGGTGGCCTTCACATGTGTTCTCCAGTGGTCTGAGGGTCATAACTAGATTCAGCATCTTTGTGGGAATGAAGAAAACGTTGCATCTTCTAGGCCTACTTAGGGGAAGTGATCATTCCTATGGGGCAGAAGGGGAGCTGGGGCAAATGGGTAAAGGAAATCGAAGGGAACAAACTTAGTAATAAGATGAGTGTGTTCTGGAGATGTAGTGTACAACACAGTGACCACAGTTTACTATAATGTTTTATATGTTCGAATTTGGTAAGACAGTTCTTAGAAGTTCACTCATATATGTAAAATTTAAGAAACAAAATTTAAGAAACAAAAACAAATGAACAAAGAGAAAAAAAAAGAGACAAGCAGAAAAGCAGACTCTTAAATACACGGAACAAACTGGTGGTTGCCAGAAGGGTGGTGGGTGCCAGGGGAATGGGTGAAACAGGTGATGGAGATTAAGAAAGAGTACACTGATCTTGATGAGCACTGAGTAATGTACAGGATTGTTGAGTAATTATACCGTACAACTGAAATTACTATAAGACTGTATATTAATTAGACTTGAATAAAGAAAAAAGTTCACACCAAAAATAAATAAACTGTAATTATATAAGGCAATGGATGTGCAACCTAAAAAAAAGAAGTTACCTATGCTATCCACATTGCCAAATCCAGAGGCCAGTGCACACCTCTCTTGAGCTCTATAAGCACTCCTTTACAACTGAATATCCCCTTTATGTATCCCATCCTATCTGACTGGATAATCCCCTTTAGAGTACCTTTATTTCCCGATTCCAGAAACCAAACTCTCCTAGTTTTCCTCCTACGCCACTGGCAACTCCTCTCTCCCCTCTGTCAGATTCTCCTAATCTCTCTCAGCTCTAAAGCCTAGAGTATCCCAGGGCTCAAAGCCTCTTCTCTATGTAGTCTATCTCATCCAATCTCACAGTTTTAAATCGAAGTCATTCAGAGGACTCACATTAACTTCTCTAGCTTAGATCTTTTCCTTGAACTGCAGACTTAGAAGTACATTGTCTGTGACACTTCCACTTGGAGAGTATCTCCTAACTAGTCTTCCTGCTTCCAACTCTGCCTCCCCTGGAGTCTATTTTCCACGCAGAATACGGAGTTAGGGCTACTGAGTATAGTTGCGCAGACCACACATATATTCTGGGGCTATAACTGCCTAAAGGGACACCGTTTTCTAATTCACATAAAGGCGTATGTTGAATAGTAGCACCTCTGGCCGGAGGGAATGACGTCACACACCTTTGCCTCAAAGCCGGCAATGGCTTCCTATCTTTCTCAAAGCAAAAGCCAAAATCCTTATAAAGGCCAATCAAGTCCTACACAGTGTTAGCCTCTTGGATCTAACTGCCTGTTACTCTCCTTCTTACCCATCCACTCCAGCCACATGCTTCCCTGCCACTTCTTAAACCTTCTAAGCACACTCCTGGCTGAGGGGCTTTGTACGCGGTGTTTCTTCTGCCTTGAATGTTCTTCCCTCAGGTAGCTTCATAGCTCTCTCCTTCATTTCCTTCTTGTCCCTGCTTAAAGGACATGCTATTAGAAGCCTTCCCTGATCACTCTACATAAATAGCAACTATTTAAAAATAACAGCAGTTTACTTTGGCATTTTCTACCTCTTTTATTTTTTTCCAGGGCACTTTCTACCTGACATACTAGATATTGTTTAAGGTCTTTATACCTCAAACTTGCTTCTATGAAGACAAGAACAATATTTTATTCATTGTTGTAATTCTAGTCCCTAAAATAGTACCTGGTGCCTAGTAGGTGCTCAGGACATACTTGCTGTATGAATGAATGCCAAAGACGGTAAGAACCTCCAGTTATAATGTCTACGTTTTCAAAAAGAAGGGACTGCATCTAACTCAGAAGTTAGGTTCTTAAGTCAGCAGGTAAAGTGAAAATAGAGCTTAAAATTACCCTGGAAGATTCCTAGATTCCTTTAAAAAAAGGTGTCAAGTTTGAGATTGACATATTAGCTCTCAATATGTCTGAAATGACTATTTTTCTTCTAGAACAAAAGAAATTGTAGATTCTCTGGCTGAATATCAGATCAAGTATTTGGTTATGTTAGGGACTATGTATAAAAAATATATATTTAAACCCTAAAATCACATACTCAGTACATCAAGTGGCTTCAACTACAAAAAGCACTTGGAAACTAAGACTGACCGAGGGAATTGTAATTCTTCTTCCATTTCTTGCCCACTGTGGGGCTCAATTCATTTAGTGGCAAGTTTAAACTACTTAAATGCTATCTGTTTTTCTTTTTCTTTTCCTGAGTGCATACAGATGTATTCATTTAAGTTAAAAGCATGTTTGATGCAGTTAAACTCCAGCATTCACCTATATTCCTTTCTAACTAATATTTAGTTGGCAGTTATTTCCACAAAAGAGAGAGAGTGTGTGTGTATGTGTAGCTTTAAAGAAATCTTTCCATCTCTAAAAATTCCAGTAGACAGCTTGCAGTGCCACTTGAGAGACGAGAATTCTCTATCTATACTGCACAACATGCAGCAGTAAAATCTTTACTTTCGCTAAATATTCATTAGAGTTATCAGAATCTACTCATTATTTAAAAGTTGAGTACGAAAGAAGCCTGGCTATGACTCTGTCACGGGTCATCACAGGAAGCACCAGTGAAGATTTGGCTGATATGTCTGGAAAAGAGATAATTAGTCCATCAACTAAACAGACAGCAAGTACAGCCAAGTAGCATTTTGGGACTTTCAAACTACAATGTGTAAGAAACTCTTAAAATAATTTTCATCACTTTCGCCATTTCCAATATTTACTTTCCTGGTAACAGGAGTTACAGTAACAGTATTATATTCAATTCACAGTGTCATGTAAGTTGAAGTTAACTTCAGATTCCGACCTTGCAAAAAAAAGCCGTTATTTGCCAACATGCCTCTAGAAAAGGTTACAAAGTGGGAGACTGCAAGGTTTTAAAATAAGAGGAACGATTCCCTTGACTGGAATCACTCAGCATTTTCCCCCTCTTCCTCTTAGCTCTCTGCTGTCCCACAGATTAGGAATTGATACCTTTTCTGCACTTACACATTACAAAAGCATAATGACCTGGATGAGCGCCTCGATTCGCTGAAGATGCAAAAGTCATTGCCATCATCCCACGTTCTGCTCGAGGCTTTCCTGTTGCCGGCACCACCACCACCGCCCCCGTGAGATCTGCTCGTGTGACTCCTGCCTTCCTTTCCTCCTCTAGAAGACCCTTTTCCACCTCCTTTGCCCGGCTTGCCTTTTCTTCTTACCGAGGAACTCATTTTCACCTGCAAGAGAAAAACTAATACAGACATCATAAAACCAGACAAGTACGACAATCCTTTGTCACAGTTATGGAGATAGCCCATTACAAAGAAATAAGGAAGGGCACGTGTTTTAAAAGGGTCAGTCTAGGGGAAGCAGAGATAAATTGTTTTGACAAAAGTTTTACAAGCACATCCCTCTGAGGATTAATATTTAGTGAGTCTCTCTGACACAGATTTCTTTCTTTTTTTTGTTTTTTAAAGATTTTATTTATTTATTTGACAGAGAGAGACACAGCGAGAGAGGGAACACAAGCAGGGGGAGTGGGAGAGGGAGAAGCAGGCTTCCCACGGAGCAAGGAGCCCAATGCGGGCTCGATCCCAGGACCCCGGGATCATGACCCGAGCCGAAGGCAGACACTTAACTACTGAGCCACCGAGGTGCCCCTCTGACAGATTTCTTAACCAGGGATGAGCATCAGAAATACACGGAGAAGTTTCAAAACACACATGCTTAAGCCCGAGTCCTACATCCTGATTTGGTTAGATTTGGTACAGGGTTTAAAAAACTAGTTGAAAAAGAAATGTTTTCCATGTATTTAATATGTGATTTGATAAACAAAATTTTAATTTACATATACACTTTCAGAGACACAGACCTGGCTCAGAGATTTTGCCTGGGTAGAGTGAAAGTATAGAGCTTTTGTGTGCAAATGAAGTTGAGTTGTTAACCAGCTTAAAATAGAATGTTATAACTATATGATGTTTTATGTAAGCCTCATGGAAACTACAAAGCAAAAATCGACAGTACATATACAAAAGAGAAAGGAATCAAAGCATACCACGACAGAAAATCATCAAATCACAAAGACAGCAAGAGAGGAAGAAAGGAGCAAAAGATCTATAAAACACCTAAGAAACAATTAACAAAATGTCAGTATTAAGCCCTTACCTATTAATAATTACTTTAAATGTAAATAGATTAACTTCTCCAATCAAAAGACACAAAATGGCTGAATAGATAAAAAAATAAGACCCAACTATATGCTGCCTACAACAGAAGTGCTTTTTGGCTTTAAGGACATCGAATGAAAGTGAAGGGATGGAAAAAGCTATTCCATGCAAATGGAAACCAAAAGAAAGCTGGGGCAACTATACTTTTATTTGGCAAAATAGACTTTAAGGCAAAAACTAACAACGGACAAAGATGGTCATTATATAACGATAAGGGGATTAATTCATCAAGAGGATCTAACAATTGTAAATATTTGTGCACCCAACATCAGAACACCTAAATATATAAAGCAAAACAGAATTTATAGACCAAAAAGAAAGTAAAAATGAAAATTATACATTAAAATTATAAAATATAGCCAAAGCTAGATATTTATTTTTATTTATTTATTTATTTATTTTTAAGATTTTATTTATTTGTCAGAGACAGAGAGAGCACAGAGGGAGGGGCAGACGCAGAGGGAGAAGCAGGATCCCCGCTGAACAAAGAGCCCGATGCACGACTCTGGATCATGACCTGAGCAGAAGGCAGATGCTTAACTGACTGAGCCACCCAGGCATCCCCGAAGCTAGATTTAAGATAGTTTCTTAGACTTAATATATTCCTATAATAAGAGAAAATAGTTGTAACTCAAGAAGTAATAAGCTACATTAAAAGAATAAAATACCTAGGAATAAATTTAACCAAGGAGGTGAAAGAACTGTGCACTGAAAACTATAAGACATTGATGAAAGAAACGGAAGAAGACACATATAAATGGAAAGATAGTCTGTGCTCATGGATTGGAAGAATTGATATTATTAGAAAGTCCATACTACCCAAAGTAATCTCCAAATTCAATGTAACCTTTACCAAAATTCCAATGGCATTTTTCACAGAAACAGAACAAATAATCCTAAAATTTGCATGGAGCCAAAAGACCCTGAATAACCAAAGCAATCTTGAGAAAGAAGAACAAAGCTGGAGGCATAACAATCCCTGACTTCAAACTATATTACAAAGCTGTGGTAATAAAAACAGTATAGTATTGGCATAAAAACAGACACACAGATGAATGGAACAGAATAGAGACCCCAGAAACAAACCCACATATATATGGTCAATTAATTCACAACAAAAGGAGCCAAGAATATACAGTGAGGAAAGAAGTCTCTTCAGTAAATCGTGTTGGGAAAACTGGACAGCCACATGCAAAAGAATGAAATTAGATTATTATCTTACACCACACACAAAAATGAACTCTAAATGGATTATAAACTTGAATGTAAGACTTGAAGCCATACAACTCCTAGAAGAAAACATAGGCAGTAAACTCTTTGACATCAGTGTTGGTGAGGATTTTTTGAACCTGACTCCAAAATCAAAGGCAACAAAAGCAAAAATAAAAAAGTGGGTAAACTAAAAAGTTTCTGCAAGCAAAGGAAAACATCAACAAAATGAAAAGGCAACCTATTGAATGGGAGAAAATATTTGCAAATCATGTATCTGATAAGAGATTAATATCTAAAATATATAAAGAGCTCATACAACTCAACAGCAAAAAACCCCAAACAATTCAATTTAAAAACTGGCAGAGGATCTGAATAGACATTTTTCCAAAGAGAACATACAGATGGCCAACAGGTACATGAAAAGATGCTCAACATCACTAATTATCAGGGAAATACAAACCAAAACCACAATGAAATATCACCTCACACCTGTGAGAATGGCTATTATCAAAAAGACAAGAAATAATGAGTGTTGGCAAGGACGTGGAGAAAAAGGAACTCTTGTGCACTGTTGGTAGGAATGTAAATTGGCGTAGCCACTATGGAAAACAGTATGGAGGTTCTTCAAAAAATTCAAAATAGAACTACCATACAATTCAATAATTCCACTTCTGGGTGTTTATCCAAAGAAAATGAAAACACTAATTCAAAAAGATATACATATGGATATATACAATGGAATACTATTCAGCCATAAAGGAGAATGAAATATTGTTATCTGCAACAACAAGGATGGACACTAAGGGCATTTTGCTAAGTGAAATTAGTCAGAGAAACACAAATACATACAATCTCATGCATGTGTGGAATTTAAAAACAAAAACAACCAAGCTCACAGATAAAAAGAACAGACTGGTGGTCGCCAGAGGTGGTAGGTAGAGGGTGGGTAAAATGGGTAGAGGGGGTCAAAAGGTACAAACTTCCAGTTATAAAATAAATAAGTTATGGAGATATAATGTACAGCATGGTGACTATAATAAATACTCTATTGCATGCTTGAAAGTTGCTAAGAGAGTAAATATTAAAAGTCCTCATCACAAGAAAAAAAAAATTTGTAACTATGTATGGTGGTAGATGCTAACTACTAGACTTACTGTGGTGATCATTTCACAATATATACAAATGATAAATCATTATGTTATATACCTGAAACTAATATAATGTTATATGTCAATTATACCTCAATTAAAAAAATGATATATGCTATAGCTATATGCTATATCTATATATATCTATATATAGCTATATGCTACTTATCACTTTAAATTCAAAGAAACAAATAAATGAAAAGTAAACAGATGGTAAAAGATAAATTATGCAAACAGCAACCACAAGAAAGGTGGAGTGACTGTGCCAGTATCAGACAAAATAGACTTTAAAGCAAAAAAAAAAATGTTACTAGAAATAAAGAAGGACATTTCATAATGATAAAGGGGTCGATCTAGCAGGAAGATATAACAATGATAAATATATATGCACCTAATAACAGAGCACCAAAATACATGAACCAACAATTGATATAACAGCAAAGAAGACAAAATTCTTCATGAAGCTTACCTTCCAAAGGGTAAGACACAAATAAACAAATAAATAGATAATATCAGTTAAATGCTATACAGAAAAAGAAAAATCCTAAGACTGTTATTTTAAAGAGAGTGGTCAAGTAAGGCCTCTCTGAGATCATGTTTGAGCAGACACCTGAACAAACTGAGAGAATGAGCCATGAAATATTTGTGAAAAGAATATTCTGAGGGGAAGGTGCCAGGTCCAGAACATCTTCAATGCACTGAGCTGGACAAACAGTAAGAAGTCTGATGGGTCCGTACTGAGGAGAGGGGATGAGGTCAGAGAGCAGAGAAGGCCAAGAAAAAGCTGGAGACAGGGGGAGCACTGGGAGGAGAGGCAAGAGAGAAGAGGCTGTTACCTCAGTAAATCCTGCAGGCCACAAAGCTAACATTGCATTGCCACAGTAAAGATCTGGTTGGGTTTAGTGTTTAAGTTGCAGTTATTGCCACTTTAGGCTAATACTGGACTTTGAAGATTTTATACACAATATTTTTGTTATACATCACGACTTGGCCACCTCCACTCCAAACAACAGAATGAATTTTCTTAAAGTGAGCTTAGTTTCTTTTGGTGATTCATGTTTGTACATAGATTCTGTGATCCCATTTCATACTGCCTCATACAGGAACACTTTGTATAAATGAACTGCTTTTTGTTTTCATATTATTAGTAGTATCATGGTCCCATCACATGCCTATTAACCTCATAAATGTGTCATTAGTCTTTGAAAAAAAATATGTAAATATGTATGTGTAACATGAGAATTTCTCTCCAAAGCAGGGCTTAAAGTATTTTGGAAAAGTTTGACAGAGTATATCATGTGAATTCAGATTTACCTCAATGCCAAGAATTATGTTTAGATAGGAAAAAAGAAACTTGTTTTGATCTCAGATAGAAAAATAGATTGCTTTGGGTTTTATGTAGCTTTAGATTTTTAAAAAGCTAGAATTTAATCTGTTTAGCTAAGAGTGATTCGGAAAAAAATTTTTTTTGGAAAATTTTTTAAAAAATTCTAAATATGATAGGAAGTCACTAAAGAGCTGAGGCAAAAGATGGCTAGGACTGACTCATGTTTGAAAACAATTATGCTAGCTGCTTCGTGAAGAATAAAGAGACTGCACGGGGGTGAGGAGAAGCCAGGAGGCCAACTAGGAAATTACTGCAGTTGTTCAGGCAGAACAAATACAGAGAAAATACAGTGGGCGGGACTAGGGTGGGAGCAGCAGAGTTGAAAAGTGGTCACAGATTCTGAATGTATTTTAAATGTAGATGAATTAGATGAAAAGTATCAGAAAGAAATGTCTACAATTATTGTAAGATTTTTTGGCCTAGGTTAACTGGGTAAATAGTGGTGTCATGTGCTCAGAACTGGAATATTGGGGAGGAAAAAAC